ACTCTTCAGGCCCCAGCCCGGTGCACGTACGCGTATGCCTATTTCTGAGGAGGGGCATATACAGGTGTCGGTGTATCTCAATATTCACTACTCTACATAGACAAGGCACACGAAAAGAGGAGGCATCACAGCGAGTTGTGTTGGGGTGAGGGAAGGGGATGGAGAATTTCACTCCTGTCCCCCTGTTCAATGACCTCAGCCCGAATCGAAAAACGGTAAGGGCTGCTGTGCCATAAAAAAAGAATCCGAAACTCAGGGCACAAAGGAATAAGGCACTTTAGGCTGCATTTGGCGTGCTTCGGAATTCAGCAGGGAAGGTCACTCTTTGAGGGGGATGGAGGGGGCAACCAAGGCGTGCTTTCGATGGTTAGGGCGCAGGACCGGAGGGGGCGGAGGTAAACTCGGCAAAGATCGACGTAAAAAAGAGAAAGAGGAAAGAAGGATGGTAGCGGCTAAGATGGTGGATTGATAACACCGTATCCGGATTTGGAATGTGCCTGAGGCGGGGGGGGGCTCTGCTTGCAGCACAGGAAAGGGCAAAAGCCGATAGCTGAGAGATGGGTTCTTACTGCTGATGATGTTGTGGTCTAATTTTGCGTGTCCTTACTCTTGAAAGGCTTGTAGGGTTTGCGGCTCCAAATCCATTTCTGCGAAGGACTTCTGTTGCAACTCTCCAGGGTCAGGCGATTCTTATCTTCACTGAGAGTTAAACAGTAGCCTTGGTTCTTAATTTGATCGTCCTGTGAAGGAGACAAAAAACACCATCAACTTGGCAAAACCAACAACCAGACGTGTAAAAATGGGACCCACAGCTTCTACTACAACCAAGTTTAACGAAAACTGATGTCAGGAAGTGTAGTCTGAATTTATGAAATTAGTGTATATATAGAGACGCAAATTTAGAGAAAGAAACATACCTTAGTGTATTCGAATAGTTGCATTCCACCCTGTGAGTGGCAGCTTGCAAGCTTTATTTGCTTCTTATCATAGCCGCCATCAGCACAGTAGTCATCTCGTCGCAGCTCGCCAGCCTTGCTGAGGAGCCAAAACTACAAAGCACGAAAGTGGGAGATAGAGGAAACGATAAAAAGACAACCGACGGAAGTCAAAGGTGATACACGTCGCCCTGACAATAGGTTAAGAAGGGGAAAAACAAAGTAGGGGTTACACCGGGGAACCAGATGGCCGAGCAATCATCACGTCCAATTCCACCACGCCTGATGCAAGTTCAGCAGGTCACGGCCCACATGCCGGTCATCAAGCAATCCACGCACAAGAGGGCAATTACCATTAATTGTTGTTGTAATAAGTGCGCAGTAATGACTGTGCCCCATAAATACTGCAACTTCCTGTGCATCTATCACTATTTTCTGCTCATGCCTCTGATGAAGAATCCGTGACGGAGGTCGAAACGTCAGACGAAT